CATTTGGTAGTTAAAATATACGCTATTACAAATATAAAGCATTACATTCTTCTATTATGTTAAGAATTATTAAAGATATACTTTTTGTAAATAGGAATTTCAGAAATTAGGTGAATTAATTTGCCTGTTCTTCCTTCTCACTCCTCCTTCCACAGTTCAGTATCTCCATAGCAGAGCAAGCTTGAAATTTATTATCTGCAACATAATTTGACTCAAATGAGACCAAAATGGCACATACGATTTCCTTCTGTTTTCACAGAAAACCAAGTTACAACCTACAGGTTCACCTGCTGCCCTGTGTGAAAAGTATAAGTCAGCTGTAGAATTTATTTTCTTGCAGAAAATATTTCACTGGTGTTGCTGTTGAAAGTTAAGATGTAAAGAAAAGTAACTTTTCTTTATTCAGTGCTCAAATTCTGGAGGTCACATTGTTAGTTCCTGTTTAAAAACAGTCAAAAAGTTGTTCAATTAAACAACTAAAAAGTTACTCTCTCTTACGAATAATACGAACAATCCTTTGTATGGTAGTTGACTTTTTTTAATCTGTGGATCAGAAAGATGTTTCTGAGAAGTACTGTATTTTCTCCAGGAAAATATCAAGGTGCAACCCCAACTTTAAAAGAAAAATACAAATTTGTCTGGTGTGTGCCTAGCAGCTTAGCTTTTGAATTTAAAGGAAATGATCCACTACAGCTACTCCAATGAGATTAAGCTGAAGTGAGAACACGAAATATTAGCATTTCAATAGGTATTAATAAATGCATTTGACAGAAGACAAATGTGTTTTGGAAGAAAAATGTTACATTTTTGAGAAACCAACTGGATGTAATTATATTAGCACAAAAAATCTATAAATTGAAATAAGAAATTACAGTAATGGTGATCAAGATTTGCATCATGATAATTACTGTTTGGGTATTGATTCCATGAATTATTAGGTATCCTCCTAACCTATTTTTCACCATTAAACTTAACAGCTCCTTGAACAGACATATAGTTATAGAATAAATAGTCAAAAGCATGGAGAATTTGACAGAATTTTACAGTGGAAATAACAAGTGATTCAGTAAATTCATATTTATTGGCTAAGAAGGCTGTATTTATGATCTTGGCATTATATATAGGATTGATGCAATTTACTTGCGCAGTTCTTAGTCACAGATGATGATGGGACAGTAGCTTCTCCAAAGTTATTGTTCGCAATTATGTTATATGTAATTTTAAGATGATCTGTACACTGAAAGTCTGATATCTCTTTTTATCCTCTCAGAAACAGAAGCTGAAAGTGTGATATCCTTTTCAACTGAATTTGGTTAAAATTAAGTTTATTCATAAACAGGAAGAATAAACAAATAGTTAATTTGTGGAATGGAGTATGACCAGGTGTCATAAAAGAAATAGCCAGGAAAAAAAAAAAGTCGAAAGCTATCAGATCTTGAGCGCCAATATAATTTGATTTCAGAACAGTAAAGTGTATTTCAAAATGGGCTAGCTTATGTACATCTGCATGCTTCACTCAGTCTATGCCTTGTTTTGGATCACTCTTAATAAATGTTGAGTGCCCAGTATCTTGTTATATTCACGGCACAATCTTTACAGCGGAGAATTTTATTTTTAACAATACAAAAGTTTATTAGTGGGTGCTAACAGTGCAAAATACAGACAGTAAGGCCATTATATTACTACACTTAATTTTATACTGACAAAACAGAAAATTGCAAATTGCAAATTGTTATTAGCAGCAATGTTCATATGGGTTAGCCTGCAGCTGGGTGTTCAATATTATATGTTTTGGTTACGCTGTGATTTCTGACTTCCACTTCAGTTAATGCCTGATGCATTAATAGCATGCATAATAACATAATAATGTGTTTTTAAAGGTACGGCATACAGATAAACTCAATTTCTGTCTGGGTTATTGGGTCTCTCATATGCATGTTCGTTCTTGGACGAAGCAAACTAAAACGAACATGATACCACTTCTATTTTGCCTGCTTTCTCCCAAATTCTGATACCAAATGGTAGGAGGAACGATATCTCTGCAACAACACAAAACTCAAAAAAAACAGAGCTTGGGTTCTAGTAATCCACAAGGAATAGTAAGGAAGATAAGCTATGAGCCTTGTGTAGTTTGCTGTAATACTGGCAGTTGAGAGGAATCTCAGATGCCTGCAAGTAGGCGTAATGCTAAAGAATACAATTGTGGATTTGCCTTTTCTAACGGAACATGATTCCTCACGTGCTCTTTCATGAGGAATGGTGTTAAAGTCTAGGCAGTAAAATCTGTGACCTTCTGCTCTACAAGATAATTCACTTCCAAAGACACGGTCTTAAGAGGCTATGAGAGTTAGCTGAAGTCCTGATCAGCAAGGAGCGTGAAGATCAATGCATGGAATGTTTCCAACTTGAACATTAGGCTTTAGGAATAGATTCAGACCGTTGCTTTTCAGCCAGGATTTTCACTTACCACTGCAGATGGAAAAAGGGGTGGGAGAAAGATGTCGGTCAAGGATAGTGATCAGATCTGATGTTAAAGATGATTTCCAGTACTACAATAGTGCCAACAACAGGTGGATGACCCAGTGTTAGTCTCTCATCCACATCAGTCTCTCATTGTGCATCTAAGTTAGAGAAGAAGCAAATTCTGCCAGGCTCCCTGGGCAAGGCTCACGTGTGCCCCATCCCTCCCTGCTGTGACCTGCAGAAATGGAGCCTGGGTATGTGTCTCTAGAGGAAGCTGTACCACTTTCTGGGGAGGTCCTGGAGCCAGATGCTGGGGTGCCCAGACCCCAGCACATGCCGTAGCGTGTACCTGCTGCTCAGCTGGCAGAAGCTGAGCCGCCCCCGGTGATGCTCTCTTCTTGAACAGACTGGGTCTCTTCTCTTCCCTTTAGTCAGCGTGACTTCTTCTGATTTCTTTTCTTCTGTCTGTGAGTAAGTGCTGGCACTAGATCTTTGTAGAGAGGCTTTTGTTTTGTTTTGTTATCTTAATAGGAGTTTCTCTTGGTTATTTGGGTGGTCCTATCCATTGCCATGTGCACAGTTCAAGGCTTCTGGAAGCTCAGGGACAAATTGTCCTGGTGCCCAAGAGAGACGGAGTGCAACTAACAAAATGCTTAGATTGTGGTTGCGATTGCAAGGCAGCATTCTTCCTGAATAGCGGGATCTCGGGGGGGAGACTGAAGATACAACTATCTCATCTTTTATGAAGATGCTTTCGTCTTGGAAATCTCATTTCTATATTGCAATAAAACCTACCCCTGGGACCACTGCTGGGAAGAGCAGCAGTGCTAGGCATTGTCTTGTCCTGCAACTGCAGCATCTATTATCAGATCACAAAACAGGTTTTCTCCCTCTCCGGAATGTAATTTCTCGTCAGAGTCCCTGTTTCAATTACCACTTTAGCTGAGGCTAAGGTTATGTCCACCACAAACAGAGAGAGAGCGCATTTATCTAATCCAGACAAAGCAAGAAGACAGAATGTGATGTAAGATTCGGTTAATTTTCAGTGAACCTCGCTTTTGTAGTCTGGCATGTGTTCAGCCACGTGTAGGACTGGTTTATGCAGAACCACTGCTTTCTTAAAACTTTTTGGTTTTGATTGCATACTACTTTCTAGACTTTCTCTTGAAGTCTGTAACTCATGTTAGTTGAAGGATTTTCTTTTACCTATTAGATCCCTTTGCTGGAGGATTACTACTGTATGTTCATTTTCCAACAATGGAGAGTCCATGTAAATTATTCTTGAACATAAAATGAAAATACTGCTTTTTGTAAATGAGGCCCTCTAAGATTTTAGCTTGTGTAATACATCCTTTTATAGAGCATACTCTTAAGGTCACTTATTTTCTTTATTTCTTTAGTTTCTGCTAATTGTAATATCTCAAGTAGTGGAAAAAAGGAAGAGAAACTGGAGCTGTGCTTACTTTTTACATTTTGTTTGTGCCTAGTAGCGTAATCAGAATCAGTATCATCGATGCAATGAGTGCCATGCAATTGTTTAGGAAAATGGACTAGCTTGTCGGAGGAAGTTGCAATCTAATTCGTATAACTTTCCTTTTTTTGTACCACGGGCACACAGTGGGGGGAAAAGGCTGACAAACCAAGTGTCTTAACTGAGATAAGAGATTAAGAGCTAGAAGTTTGTTTGCCTAGTTTAGCTTCTCTAAAAGCATGAAGCCGTGTGGCAGTAATTATCTTGCAGAGCTGTAGTCACACTGATAAATAACAATTTTTTCCAGTTTTTGCATTTGTGTTTACATTTTTCCTATGTGCTTATGCTAAGTTATAACATCTCATGAAACATAAAGTTTTCTCTGTTCAAGTCTCTTACTTTCTGCATCGTTCATTCACCTAAAGTTAAACATATAATGATTTTATTTTTAGAATTGAGACATTGCCCCGTCCCTGGAAGTGTTCAAGGCCAGGTTGGACGGGGCTTTGAGCAACCTGGTCTAGTGGAAGGTGTCCCTGCCCATGGCAGGGGGGTTGGAACTAGATGATCTTTAAGGTCCCTTCCAACCCAAACCATTCTATGATTCTATGATTTTATGATTCTCTGCTGAATTAATTTGACTTGTATGCACAAGATAGTGAACCTAATAATATATTTAATAGAAAAAAGATTTCTCTTCCCTTTCCCCCTTTCTCCCTTTACCCCTTCCTCCTCCTCCTTTGCTTTCTTGCTTGGTTCTTTTTTCCCCTATGAGGATTAATTTCAGTCCTTTAGGTTTTGCCATTAAAAAATTTATTACTGATTTGTGATGACAAAAGTCCTATAGAAAACCCCCGATTTGTCTTATCACAGGGAAAAGCCAGTTTTCCCATGCAGATATTTAATCTTGGATGCTCAAAAATGTACTCCATGCCCTCTCCCCTCAAAAGTTTGGAAATTAAGTTCTAGGAGTGCATTAATAAATATTCCGTACAAAAGATTACAGTCCTATCACATCAGGCCTGTCCTCTGCCCCAGTTAAATCCTGTTCTTTTATTTATTGCAGATGGGGAACTCAAGGGGATTTCACCACTACTCACCCTCGGCCTGTTGTCAAAGTAAAACTCTTTACAGAAAGCACCGGGGTGCTGGCACTTGAAGATAAAGAACTGGGAAGAGTGAGTATTATGTGTAGGAACAAGAAATATGTGAGAAATGATGCTTAGAAATGCGAGTATTGATAAAACATGCCACAAAACGATATGAGTTATTTAGTACAGCACCTGCTCTGCTGCAGCTGTACCAGACAGTGCTTTTTCTTTTACGGGTGACTTTTTCCAGTGTTCAAAACATGATATGTTGACTTCGATTGCCTTTCAGAAACTTGCATCAGGGATCTGTGATGGTTCTCTTTGTCTTGTTTAAAACTTTTTTTAATTCCTAGGTGACCTACCAATGCTTGTAGCTATTCAAATTAGGAGTGAAGAGAAGAGAGAGAAGACTTGGTGTGTAATAAATAGAGCAAGCGACTGGGGAAAGGGAAGGAAGGACTTAAGTGGTGGAAGGATGGGGGGGTAAAGGAGTGATGGAGATGATATGTCAGACTAAAATAAGAGTTCTCACTCTTGCACTGTATGAGCTTCCCTTCCCTTTTCACATTTTCCCTATCTTGACATGATCATTTATCCTTCTTAGGCCAAAATCAGGGGCTAGAGAGTGCAATGTATCATAGAAAGAGGAGGGTCGTGGGAACAAGGCAGAGAGGGTCTGCAAATCTTGCCCCCCCATCTCCTGTTGAAATTCTCCCCTGTGACATGTAACGCGTGGAGGATAGCTCACGTTTTAACGCTCAGTTCTGCATTCAGAGTCATGGCTGTTTCTCATTCAAGCGAGGACAGCTTATGGGGAAGAGGGGGGCATTTCCCCACTTTGGGTCCTCCAAGTGCAGGTGGCTATGCAAAGACAAATTCTCCCACACATTGGGTCACTTGTTAAGATCAGGACTGTATCCCCAGTATTACTTCTTCTTGCATCCTCTCATGTCCTTCTAGGAGGCCTCCAAGGCCACTTGGTCAAGGATGGCTGAGGTGAAGGTGGGATCTGCGTGGGGAAGATTTCCAGTAGGGGTAACACGCTGGCAGGAGCCAGGCAGGTGTTGTGGCAGATACAGAGGAGCCACGGGCGCAGCTGAGACCAGAGTCAGCAGTATCTGGATTCAAAACAACAAAAAGAGACACTGAAAGGGTGGACTTACAGGAACTGCATAGTGCTATTAAATGCAGAGAAGTTTCTTCTCTGTCCCTGCTTGCTCAGTCGTTTCAAAGAAGCAAAAGGAAAGTCAATGCAAAGGTGCAGGGCAGTGGAGAGGGACTATGTGGCCATTGTGAACAGTAGCCAGCACGGTCATTGCTAAGGAGTCAGAGAAGAAAAGAAACATTAACAGAATAAAGGGGCTAAGAATTACAAGTGTTAACAGGATCCTCTTGTTCTGCAACCTTAAATAGCCAAGGTATAGGCTTGGTCTGCTTTCTTACGCTGCAGCTTGTCTGAGTTTCTAGGACGGGAGGTTAAAAAGATTTTAAATTATTTTAAAGAATGGAAACATTTCAAATGTGAAATATTGAATATAACTTTTGCCTTAACTGTATCCTGTGGCCCCAAATGGTTTGTTTTGTGTTTTTTTGCTGCATCCTCTCCCTTCCCACTCCTGGCCGCCTTCTGACACATCTGTATTTGTCAGCTGGGCAAAGTTTAAAGAAGGTAATAACTTTCCTTTCTTGGCTGGGAGTGGTGAGGGGAGAGAGCGCAAATAAAAATAGGTAGTTGACAGGGGCTAGGGCTGAGCTCACTGCCCTGTTGTTGGATGGAGTCTGACCCAGCTTTCCCAGAGACAAAGCAAGATATATAAAAGGTGAGGGACAAAAGAGCAATCTTCTGCTTCTGTTGCTGATTCTTACTCTCCTGTTGTTCTTCGGCAGAAAGTCTGCATGCTCTGAGGTTTGGCAGTTTGTACCAGAATTAGGCTATTAAAATCGCCACTTTTTGCTGGGTTTTTTCCCCCTTGTCACAAAGGACAAAGGCCATCACCTTCTTCCCCCTTGTGTTAAAGCTTGTGCTGAGATTGGGCATAGCAAACAGAAGTACCTGAGAGATGCTTGGATACTGATTTTACATTTTATAATCCATTCCTGATTCACCAAAAATGTCCAGCCCCCATCCTTGCCCAAAAAATACCTTTTGTAAAAGATAAGTCAGTAAAAGATAAACCTTCCACAATGACCTTATGTACAGCGCATGGTCCTTAGCAGTGGAAAAGAATGTGACAAAGGGCATGTTGGGTGTGCATCAGCCTGTTTGGGTGTCTGGTCTGTCCTCCTGCACCTCCCAGGTCTGGCAATACCCAGGGTTGCTGACAGACACCTTCCAGCTGGTGGTGGTAGATGCTCAACTCGGGAGAAGGGGGAATCTGCCAACTTACCTCTCTGGTTTAACGAGAGTATTTGAGGGGGGTGGTTGCTAGCTTCAGGGGAGATTGGGAGAATATTTGACAGAATTTTTGCAAAATAATTTTAAGGTACTGTGTATGCTCATGGTATATGTTTTAGCTTTCAAAGGCTTGTTTTGTTGTCGATGTCTCTGTTTTCAGGTTTGAGAGACTTAAACACAGGTAGCCTTTGAAAAGATGCAGGATCCCACTGGATAAGTTTAATTCTAATAAAGTTTGGCAACTTTATGCCTGGTCAGTACACTGCAGTGACTTGCAGGAGTGCAGCTGATTCAGCTAGGTTTGTTATGCTCTGAAAAGGCCTGAAGGTACTTCTGCTGGTATTTTTTCTGTACTTAAACATTCAACTCAAACCTGCCCCTTCTGAGGTAGGCTTGCTGTGGACATTAATTCTCATCTGTCAGGTACTTTCTTCAAAGCATGTGTCTTGACCTGATACAACTTTTCTACGGTTATTGTGAAGGTTTTGTTCTACTTAATCTATAATTAGAAATAGAAGGCAGCATCAAGCTACATAATGTGAATTTTGAACTTCCATCACATACCAAAGGGTTTCTTCTGCCACCAAGGGATCGGCTTTTTATGGAAACAGATCTAAGGCGTGAAATGTGGAGCCAGCAAAGGTTTCCCCAGAGCTGCAGAGGAGAAGGTGTTTCCATTGACCCCATCAGTGCATGGCAGCCTCTCACACTTACGAACTTAAGATGTGGGCCCTGATTTCAGTATGACAGCACTACAGCTCCTCGGTTTAAGGAGGAGACGCTGCTGATTTCCAGAAGTAACTAGCTCATGTCGGAGCAGAAGGGATGCGGGCTCGTGCTTTCAGTAGAGAGGGCAGACCATACTTACAGATTTATATACTCCCTGTTGGGAAGCAGAGGCTGGGGGCTGCTCAGCGTCTGCTGCAGAAGTCACCAGGTGAGCACCAAGCAACGGAAGGGTTGTTGTCTGTACTTAACATCTTCTCCCTTCAAGGCATTTAAGATGTGCTTAACTGACAGGAAGTAGTACTTTCTGTGTCGCTTGTCTGACATTGCTCTCTTCCTCTAAAAAAAACAAAATAAATCCAGTTGTGAATGCCGAAGGGATATTATTCTGGGTACCTGCTGACTGCTTAAGTGTTTTCAAAGAAAAAACGAATCTTAACTTTTGTTCTCTATTCTACGCAAACTGGAGGACAGTTGGACAAACTCAGTTGTCCACCGAAAGAAAAAATGGAGACGTGTTCTGCACAGGAGGGGAAAGGATATTGTTTGGATTTGGGTTCTGCAGAACGTGAGCTTCTGGAGTCACGGTCTGAGTCTCTGGTTGTGCGGACCTCTGCTTACAGTGAACCACTGAATTTAACTTCAAGAAAGTAAGGCAGGCTGCATCTTTGAAGCCAAGTTTCTTGTAATGAGGAAATGTTAAGAACGTACTTTATTCAAATATCTTTGAAACGTGTAGCACAATTTTTATGTGACTGACACTGATCTGGCCACTTCAATAATTTTTGTATGTGCATACAGAAGGCAGAATTGATGTTTGCATTTGTACATGCAACAGCTGAGGAAGTGTGAAGAAGCCTTCAGTTTGGAGTAAATACTTCTGAAAAATCAGCCTGGTGGTTTCTGAAACTCAGGGATCTGACACCACTTTTCCTTGTTCAGTACTTTGTGTATGAAGATGTTCAAACCTAGTAATTCAAAGTGACAGCCATTGTGCTTGCATAGCACACATGTGAATACAATGTGAGAACAGCAGGTGGTGTTTGATTGCTGATACTTTTTGAATATAAGAGTATTTCAGCCTTGTCACTCTGACTATTCAATTAAAAGGGAACTATTGTCTCACAACCTTGTCACAGTCAGCTGCAGCCAGCAATAATTAGCTGTGCAGTTATGTTTTTTTTCATTGGTACTGTTACTCTGGGTTTGATTTAAAGATGTTGTGAAATAGCTCTACTGGCTAGGTACCCATACTTGCATGATTGCCTAGTTTCTGAATGCCGACTGCACTGGTCATGTTGGTTCTTCAGTGCTGTGTTCAAAGAGCCGCTGAGCAGAGACGATTTTGTACTGTGAATATGTTAGTTTAAAGCCTGCCACCCTGGGGAATGTGTTTCTCCATCACATTTTGAAATGACTGAGGTTTTGCAGGTCTGAGTTTTTCTCTCTTTTTTTTAAGTTTGGGAAATGATAAGAGATTGCTTCCACTCCCCCTTTTCCTCTGGCTTCCTGAGCAATCTGCCTGTCAGCACCCCGCGATGTCTGGCTGAGTGTTGCTGTTTCCACGCTAACAGGGATTTTCTCAGTAGCTTCTCTGAGAATGCCTCTCATCAGAAATTCTTGAGGTATTTTTCATTCAGGCATGCTCTTGCTTAGATTTGGGGGACAGGCTCTTTGGGAAGGACTTAAAGACAACTTTTATCAATTGCAAAGATTTATTAAGGTAAGTGTTCAGCTGGCAGCATCAGCAGAGGTCCATTGATTGCATAAATTGCAAAGTCTTCCTGGTTCTTTGTCAACAACAGTATTTTAGATAGCTCTTTTACCGTGCGCCTGTTCAGTTGTTCTGTTTGATTTTTGTTTCTTTTTAACCACCTGTTACCGAAGCTTTGTCTCAGTGTTTCAGCTGTAATACAGTCATAGCTGAAAAGCAAGAGATTGCTCAATAGGTGAGATGATGGAGCTT